GGAAGCCTTCGAAAATGGAAGAGCCGATAGCCATCGGAGAATGCTGTCTTTGGCCTGTCCAACTCCTCCACTTCTACACTCCAGTAGGCTGCCCTTGCATCCAGGGTAGTGAAGATGTTCATGGTCCCCAGCTCATCTATCATTTCACTTATGTGCGGCAGCGGTAGGTATCACGTTTGTGACAGCATTGAGTCCACGGTAGTCCACACAAAAACGCAGCGTCCCCCCTTTTTCTTCACGAGAACTACTGGACTTAACCAGGGTGAGGTAGAAGGCTCTATGACACCTGCCCGGAGCATAGAGTCACATTGCTCCTTGATGGTTTGACGAGTGGCATGTGGTAGCCTCCACTGTCGGTTGCAGACGGGTTTGGCATCACCGGTATCGATGCTGTGCTTGATGCCAGGGACTAACCCCACAGTTTCTTCATCACCATCAAAGAGCTCCTGGTAACGGCTGAGTACCTGTGTGAGTTCTAGGCGTTGGGCGTCTCCTAAGTGGCTGAGGTCTGGGGCAAGGTCTTCATTCCTGGTTCCCTCGGCCTTAGATGCTAATGACTCTACAGCCTCAATTGCAGCTATTGCTAGAGACGGTGGCAATTCAGCATCACAAACATCTAGGTCATCTTCATATCCAAAGTCCTGGACTCCATAGAAGTTGTCGAACTCGTCCTCTTCCCACTCATATTCTTCTGGTACATCATCCTCCCAAGAACCCTCCTCGACAGGATTGTTGCTAGTCCTGGCGACTGGTTCTTGAGGTGGGGGTTGAGGCTGTGATTCCGAAGAGTGAGTGGAGTACACAGTGTCTACAGGCTCCACTGTGCCTAAGCGAGTCCCATTGTGGAGGATGAGTGGCCGAGACGAGGGATTCACGGCCCACACGTGGCAGTGGCGTTCTTTGACTGTGGTGACAGAGTGCGGAATCGTGAGGGCCTCCGACACTCCTGGAGTTAAAAGGACGTCCCCATCTGTTGGACCCATACGTGCGACACGGCCACTCAGGAAACAGCCTGAGTGAGGTGGGATCTCCACTCGCTGGACAAGGTGCACTGCAGCGGCATCTTGAGGTTTCTGGATCTCATGGCATCATCACTGGGCAACCTTCCGTGTTGTTGGCAGAGTCTTGTTGCGGGTGACTGGACAGATTCCGAGTGTTTTGTGATCAGTGTAGACAACTGAAACTTCCTTCCAGTGTGTGTTGCATTGTTTGTGATTGTGCTGTGGGACAGGGTGAAGTTCAGTCTCCGAAGGAGATCCATTCCGACAAGAATGTCACCTGGGAAGGTAGTGTCGACTTCAGCAGCTTGATGAGGTACAGTGAGGTTATCATCTAGGTTAAAAGCAAGTGTCCATTCTGAGGTAACATGCAGTGGCTGGCCTGTCACCCCTCTGAGGATCTTTGAAGAGCTTCTGCTTCGAAGTTTCCGGCATGCATCAGTTAGGATGGCAGCTGAAGACTTGATAAGGGTGGCCTCGGAACCCGTGTCAATGAAGCAGATTGTGGTCCTGCCATTAACATTGAGTCCCACGAGAGGTCGTCCGTGGGACCTGCTGCGTTCACCACACTGATCACTGGTTCGTGGAGTTCCGTCTGTGTACTGGTGGTAGTAACGGCTCCCTGCTGTGAGACTGCCAGAGGGGCTTGGAGCTCTGCCATCCTGGCCGGTCGGAAAGGGACACTCCCTGGCAAGATGGCCGGTCCTGGCAACGAAAGCAGGTTAGGCTTCTTGGTGGTGGTCTAATGCCTGATGCAGTGGCACGGCATTCTGAAGTGTTGTGGTACGAACTGCGATGATACTCGCACCACCGGGAAGGAGCAGGATATGGAGACGCAACTTCATCTTGTTCGGCAGCCACAGCGTATGCATAAGCATCTCGGGTTCGAGGTGACGAGGTGGGTAATTGTGCCGACCCACACTGTCATCTCCAGGGAAGTCATTTGGAGACTGGTGACGGCTGGTAGACTCCCTGTGCCGTATGCCGTTCCGGGAATTCCAAATCCTTTGGGGGTCTCAGCAAGCTGTGATGTCGGGCAATCTTCCTTCAGGGCTAGGAAATCCCTTAGCCAGGGCGGGATCCCAGTCAGAAACACACGTCTAATAAGCTCTGAGGATCACCTATAGCTTCCTTATGGTCCCGGTAACCCTGGTAGACAGATCCCTCGAGTTGCTGGTAAAAATCAAAGGGAGCCTGTCCTGCAGCCATACGGTTCTCATACAGGACTTTGTAAAAGTCTGCTGCAGTATAGGTTCCTCGGAACTTGGAGCGTAGAGCTGCCTTAAATGTGTCCCAGTCACGTATGAAATCAAAGAGTGGCGAGTTGATGATAAGATCAGCAGGGCCGCGGCAACTTGCTCGTGCTGCTTGAATAAAAGATTCGCTCGTTGGAGGCTTCACAAGATTTTCGATCGAGCGAATCCAGCCCTCAATCTTGATTTCTCTTAAGAGGCAGTGAAGCTGAAGTGTCCCCCTTAAAGTGAGGAACAGTCTCCCTTGCAAGGACATAGGAGACAGTTTGGGACGGCCCTTGAGATGAGGCGGGTCTCCCATATGAAGGCGCGTGGCTGAATTCAGGCACATTTAGATTGTTGGGGTAATGTGCAGGCTGGACTGGAGGTTCTGGTGTAGATGGTCGGCTACGGGGAAGGGGCCGAGGAAGATCACAGGTTGCATCATTGCGGCCATACATCTGGACAGCATCTCTCGGCCGACTTTTCCGCTTTTCCTCTTCTAATTCTCTTTCCTTTTCCTTTAACAGTCGTCGTAGCGTTGCGATCTGCTCATCTCTGCTGCTGTCTTGCGCTTGCTCAGGGGTAGGAGTGGGCAGAGCTCTCTGAGGGCTAGAGTGGGTAGTTGATGCCGTTTCCACCCCTTGTTGATGTGTTGCTTCTTCTTGCCGGGCCAGTCGCTCGCTGAAATCTTGTGTCTGCGACTTGATTTCTTGTATGTCAGCGGATAAAGCTCCAATTTTGTCGAGGATCTCCGAGAAGAGAGTCATCTCGCCTCCATGGCTCGTACTGCTTGTCTTACTTCGGGGTTTGAACAGGGGACAATGACCGGCATCTGTTCAACCGAAGTACTGGGCACAGGTGAGGAGCACGGGAACTGGGCTGGCTCAACGTCCCTGCATGCTTACTGCGGGTCACTCTTTCGGGTTTTCCAGGCATTGTCTAGATCACTGCTAGGACACTCACAACACTTAACACAGGGGGTTGATGAGTTACTGAACACTATGGACCACAAAACACCAGTATCACTGAACACAGGGGTTGGGGAGTCACTGAACACAATGGACCACAAAACACCAGTATCACTGAACACAGGGGTTGGGGAGTCACTGAACACAATGGACCACAAAACACCAGTATCACCGAATACAGGGGTTGGGGAGTCACTAAACACTTTGGACCACAAAACACCAGTATCACTGAACACAGGGGTTGGGGAGTCACTAAACACTAGGCACCACAAAACAAACAAAATCAGAACATAACAATAGATCAAAACATTTAGGCCTTTACACTTAAGTCACCACGGGATATTTACATTAAATAGTCACCGTAGAGTATATTACTCAACGATACACCAAGAACTGAACATAATCACTATGCACTTTGGAAGATTATACACACTGCTGGAACAAAGTTATCACATTTACATGGAAATCAGGAAAGTATCCCTAAACCTATCGAGAGCCATAAACCATTAGCTGGGCGAGCGGTTATTAGTACATGTACATCTATCTCTGCAAGAGATGATTATGCTGAAAGAGATGGGTACCGCTCTTGAATACTACAAATATACATTGATCAATACTACATGGCTCTCCAAAGTCCTCTTAAGAGGCTACAGACATGGTTGACATAACCTAGCAGGAAGCAACTAATTATGCTGGACGTAATTGCGAGAAGGACACTAGTAGGACAGCAAACCTCCCGCCGCTGCCACCAAAAATTATAAGTATCTGTAAGGTATACACCTAGCTAGGGCCAGGTGCTAATCTATGTAGAGGAGCCCGAATTATCTCCCGTGAGGCAGGAGAGGCTTAGGGACCAAGTGAGATCAGGGGTCCCGTTCACTCCCCTTGAAAATAGAAAAAAAAAATATGTTGAAGAGAGTCTATTTAGGATGTTGCTGTTCCTTCTCTAGAGTCCTTCCGCAATTTGAGAGAATGAGAATTGAGAGAATTTGAGAACGAGGAGAGAATGAGAACGAGGAGAGAATGAGAATTAGAACTTGAGAGAATGAGAATGAGGAGGAGAATGAGCGAGAGAACGAGAGAGAATGAGAAACGAGGAGAGAACGAGAGAACGAGAGAGAATTGAGAACGAGGAGAGAATGAGCGAGAGAACGAGGAGAGAATGAGCGAGAGAACGAGAATTGAGAACGAGGAGAGAATGAGCGAGAGAATGAGAGAATGAGAGGAGGAGAGAATGAGAGATATGAATGAACGAGAGAACGAACGAGAGAACAAGGAGAGAATGAACGAGAGAACTAATGAACGAGAGAACAGAATGAACGAGAGAACGAGGAGAGAATATGAGAGGAGAGAGAGAATATAGGAGAGAATGAACGAGAGAACAAGGAGAGAAGAACGATGAGAATAGGAGAGAATGAACGAGAGAACAAGGAGAGAATGAACGAGAGAACGAGAGAAGAGAACGAGAGAATGAGAATAGAGAACGAGCGAGAACGAGAGAATGAGAGAATGAGCGAGAATGAGCGAGAGAATGAGGAGAGAATGAGCCGAGAACGAGAACGAGTGAGAGACACGAGAGAGAACGAGTATGAGAACGAGTATGAGAACGAGGAGAACGAGGAGAACGAGGAGAACGTGAGAGAACGAGGAGAGAACGAGAGAGAACGAGAGAGGATGAGGAGAGAATGAGTGAGAAAACAAGTGAAGACGAGAAGAGAACGAGTCAGGGTAAGAATAGAGTAGAATCAGTAAAAGTTGATTAAAAGGTAAAAAAATAAAATCCTACGTAAAATGAAAGGCAGACATTAAAAAAAGGAAATATTGCGTTAAAACAAAACAAAAATGAGCACCAACACTTGCTGCAACATTACTGTTAAAATATTAAAAGGAAACTTGAAAAATAAAACGTGACAAAAGTTAAATGAGCATCACTGGGTTCGTCTGTATTTACGCCTTATCTGCCTTTATCACTGCTTATTAAGGTTTCACGTCCAGCTTTAATAGTACCTAGGCAAGTAACACAACGGGGGTCAGTACAACCTGAGATTTTCCTGCTGCCGAGAGGGAGATGAAACGCGACAAAGTCCAAGTTGACACTGTTTATTGGTTCAAGGTCCTGGAGGTTCCAGGACCCGTGACGTCACGGAACAACGAAACATTTTTATACATTTATAATAATAAATACAGATAAAACACACAATGATGACAACATGATTCATAAAAACAAATGATTAATAAAATTTATGTTAAAAGCTTACCAATTGCAGAAATAAGAAAGATTAGGAATAATCGATAAAACATTCAAATGATGAAGCAGTAAAAATTAAAACCTAAGAGATTATATAAAACATGAAAAGTAATTAAAATAATAAACAATACCTTATACCAAAACAGTAAAATGGATTAAGGAAAATAAGAACACACTTGCTAAAAATGAAAATAAAAAAATACGTCATGGGAGTGATAGATCCTCGACTAAATTATAAGAGTGTCAAATCAAGACTTTAGGTCTTCTAAAATGTATAAAAACTAAATAAAACTGTAAAAAAAAATATCTTCAGGGGAAGTAAAAGATGTAAAACTGAAATATAGATAAAAAAATAATAATGCAACGTCACGTCTCAATCAGAAATATAGATTACTTAATTCGAGGGTTCACAACTGGGTTTAGAATTTAAATAAAATAAAAACGCAACCTAAAATACTAAACTAAAAGTGGGATCCGTAAAACCAACAACTGCAACATTAATGTAAACATAACGAGGGGAAAGAAAACGGGCTTAGGGGGAACCATAGAAGTCACGCGCAGGTGACAAGTGCGCACAGGTGTCGCAGGAAGAGTGCCAACTGGAGTGCCACGCCCTCTCGGTAATTAATACACTCACACATATATATATATATATATATATATATATATATATATATATATATATATATACATATATATATATATAATATATATTACACACACACACACACACACACACACACACACACACACACAACACACACACACACATATATATATATATATATATGTGTATATATGTGTGTGTGTTGTGTGTGTGTGTGTGTGTGTGTGTGTGTGTGGTGTGTGTGTATGTTGTGTGTATGTTGTGTATGTATGTATATATGTTATATTATATATATACATATATATGTATATATTATATATATATTAATATATAATGTCATCATACATACTTATATAATATATATATATATAATATTATTATAGTTTTAGATATATTAGTTTTATATATATATATTATATTTACTTATTACACACTATACAATATATAGATATTATTTTATAATATTTATTACTTCACACACACACACTTATTGCTCTATGTACTACAAACATACAAATTTTTCGTGCCATTGATACATACAATGCATACTACGCAACACAGTCTACCACGGACAACACACACACCATGCGGACGCAGATCCTATTGGACGGCAATATGTACCAGTTTGCTGTTTTGTAAGACTTCCTGAAGCTTCTTAAAGCGCGCGACTACTCACCATTTGATAGTAAAGGGTTCATGTTATATTGTTCTGATGCAACATAGGGTATAGACACATGGCGTGTACAATCTTCAAGGTATTAATGTTAATTTTGGTATAAGAATTGATGATACTCATTGGATGGAATATGTTAATTTTGTTAAATGATATATTAGTTCGGAGTTGAAGTGATCAAGATATGGGGGCTATCGCTATGCAACGGGAGTTATAGTGGCGTCTGTATTCTACTAATGGTATCTTGGAAATAAAGCTGTATGATATGTAGTTATAGTATAAAATCTAGAACTTCTCTCTTCAGAGACTTGATATTGCAGTTTAGAACTGATGTGACATTATTTTAGATCTCAAAAAGGTGATAGTATGGCATTGTCCGAGAAATAAATAAAATATAGTACGGATATCGATTTGGTCAAGGCAAGAAACTAGATATATAATAAACTAGTATTAAGCGTAGAATTCTTACTGAATTTGAATGGTATAATTATAGAGAAAAGATATAACGCAACTATAATATGTTACTAACTGTAAAGGAGAAAAAAGAAATAAAATAGATAAACAATATAATGGAGTAATGATATAAGAGGTTGAGTAATTGCCTAGTTGATTGAACGATAGTGAGGACTTTTAACAATGACAATAATGACAATCGTAAGTGGGTGAGTAATGAGATAGATAATGCTTAAAAGTTCTTTGAGCGATATATTATCTGAAGTGAAAATGAGTAAGTGATGAATGAACAAGAGCACAATCTAACGATACAATGTA